CCCACAATTTGCGGTCGCGAACTGTGCCTTTAAGGCAAGCTCAGCCTCAGCATCGCATTGATAACCCTTGTGCCCTACGCTAACGTTCCTGCTAAAAATGAATGTCATATCAATAATAAGGACAGCGAATAACCCTAGTATCCAAGTTCCCATCAATTTGGGTGGAAGAGGTGATAGCACCAAATTGGCGCCCATTGGCGCCAGTTGGCGCTGGGACCTGTAGTGAACGTCATATTCGTGACCAGACCAACAAAAAGCCCTAGTATGTAACTTTTCCTGAAGTTTGGTGAAAAAAGGTAGTGGTGAGTTGGCGCGGCACCATTCTGGCGCCCCGGTTTTGATGAAAAAAGTGGTGGCGCCAAATTGGCGCCTAATGGTGCCAAATGGCGTCAAACACCGCCGGCGCCAGAAACGGACGTCACATTCGTGATCGGGGCACTGAGTAACCCCTACCGGCAATTTTTCAGCAGAAATTTTTCTAGAGGTTTTGGGCTCAGGTGCTGCTAGTTGAATCGTGCCTGGGACCCTTATATCTGAAGATCTCGTTGGTCCACTATTTGCATAAATTAACAAAGGTATGAAGACTTGTACCACTGGGAAAAGTTCCTCGAAGAACTCGAACTGTTTCTAAAAATTTCATCAAAAGCCCGTCCGCCACATATGGTGGACATGGTCCGAAGTGGACATTTCGGTGTCCACCACCAGTGGCGGACATTGTCACGAATGGGTTAAATAGGCATCAGTAAAACAGATAAAAGTGAATATTCAAGTTTCAGTCATGAACAAGGAACTCAAACTCACACATCCAACGGGCAACCTTGTGGGCAGGTGAGTCCACGGTCAGGCAGCCGGAAACATCTGAATTGTTCAAGTACAATTGTTCAAGTGATAGTACAAAACCGAGGATTGATAAGAGCGATGAATGGATGGTGTTGGTAAAACGCAATACAAGTACCATATCATATTACTTGTTTTCTACTGCTTTTTGTCGCATGCCCGTTTCAACAAGAAGGCAGAGAACAGCTCAAAGAGGGTGACACACTCATACTGGCTGACACGCCCAACCGTCCGCAGCGAAGTAGAGTGTAAATGGGATAACTTATGGACAACGTTCATTAGGGAGTAGGGCAATAGGTATAGAGTGGGACAGTAGGTATAAGTTTCAAGGCGCAGTCTACAGTGGCAAAAAGAAACAGACGAAAAATCCGTATCTACGCCGTATACGACTCCTTTGTAGGGGATTCCCTTCGTACGAGAAGTCCTGTGCGTAGCAGTGCGACTGAGTCCCCATATAAGGCCCACCCTTTGAAGGCACATTCCGCGATAATTAGTTTGATAGAGGAGCGGGCAGCCACTCACAACTATTGTACATACTTCTTCATTAGCGCTCCCCTCGTTCCGACAAGAAGGATGAGAGGGGATACTAATAAGCCCAGTGTTTGTGCCTCTCCGGTAAGAAGGTTACCGGGAAATCTTGAAGTAAGATAAAAACAAATCAATGATGATCAAATCAAACAATGGTAGGACCATTATGAGGGACCAAGCATACAAGGTAATATCAAAGAGCAGTATAAAAGCTAAATATTCTACACAACTACCTCTGGATTTCTTCAGGAGTCTTTTGATAATGTGGTTCCGCTCCTAACGTCACACTTTCCCAGCAAAGAACGCCAAACATCCTGCACAATAACCAGCATACAGTACTGCAAGGTAGCCATACACATACCAAAAAGCATCAACCAACCATATGTCGCTTTCCTGTCTACGTTTCGGATTTCGCTCTGTGGAGCAAACGATTTCCGGTGGAAGGTGCGATGTTGTTGGTGGGTAGAGACAACTGAGTTTTATTGAACACCTAGAGAAGCAATGTGTGAAATTCAAATAAAGACTGCATTCAAATGCCTTGGTGATTTCTTGAAATCCGGACGCATGGCACGTCCCAAAGTCTGTTATCAGAGCTTGATTCCTGACTTCTTTCAATGGTGTTAATATGGTAGAGAGGGAAGATGGAGAGAGGCAAAGTGCGAGACACGGCCACACAATTTTAAGCTTCTCTGAGCTACCTTGCCGCAAATTTGAGAAAGAAGGAAACACCGTGGAGAAGGCTTCCTAGTCACGGCACGCTCTAGCACTGCTACATATGGGGGGAGGCAAAAAAAGTCACTTTGACCGAGTCACATATCAGCAAAGTTTTCGCAGCCCAGACAGAGGACGTGGATACGAGTACCAGGGCGGAAGATACCCAAGATGTTCCTCTATAAGCAGGAGCTGGCTCTCGCCCATCACCTTCATGTACACCAAAATATGAAGTCATCTCCAGTCGCAGCCTGACTGGAGAAGACCTTTGGAATTCATGTCACCTCCAAACAGCTGCGAAACTTCTAGTATGGAGTCACCCATGGATAGCTACCTGGAGACCAGTACTCTCGATCTGGATGACCTCCAACATCGAGCAGCTCGTCGCCACGGTCTAGGACATCATCTTCACCACAGTCGCCAAGGCGCGGGTTGATGGTATGGACCGGACGTACCTGGAATGGAAAGACCAATATTTTCTTCGTGGACCCCGGACTGAAGGTGAGCGCTGGCGGCGAGCAACTCGTGAAGAATATCCTCCTCACATGTCGTCGCCCGTACCTTCTTGGAAACTTTGTACTGCTACAGCATTGGGTGCCACCACATGGAATCGAAGGGCGTTGGAGAAACTCTCGCCTACTTGGAATGGAAGGGGGCTGAGTACCTAAAGAAGATGGAATATCCAAGTAGGTCACCTGACCTGATCCCTCAATTACCCGGTTCGGGCGGAGTTCAATAGGGTGGTCTACGGTGGCGGAGAAATCGACTATCTCGCTGATCTCAGGCACCACATCGCGGTCGCGTGCCAGAATCTCTCGATGGCGCTCGTCCAGAAGGCTGTGGCGGAGTGTCATGATAGTATTTGATATGCTCTTTAATATGGTGGTAAAAATGTCCGATCAGAATTAATAAAGTGTAACTTATAGCGCCTCGAAAGTCAATGAAGAAAAGTGACTTTTTTTTGCCCCCCCCCCTGTATACATACGTGCGAATGCTGTGGGTGTCAGCCGGCTTGCAAGGCCGTTTCGCTACGACCGGGAAGTGACGTTCCACACCCAGAAAACTCTGGGTGAACCGTGTCTCACACTGGGTGGAAGACGCAGACAAACTCGAAACGGGCATGACCTAATCTCGTTGTCCTTACCCTGCCAACTACACTGGCGGTCTTTCTTTCATAATACATTATTATCGTTCGTTAAGATTATATCTTGAATGGAAAAAGATGGTTCAAAGTGGTGTTTCTCCAGTTGAAGGACAAGAGGCTTGCAGTACCGAGAGAGGGGGGGAGGTGTGTTCACTGTGCCCCTACCACTCCATACATGGAGAGGAGACCATTTCGTACCGTTGCATCCGCTCACAGCTCAAGTACAGTAGCGCCTCCAAATTCTATGCATTTCAAATTTCAGCAGTTCCCACGAAACTCTCGTAATCCTGACTTACCTTCGCAGATCTCTAGATGTCAACTGTACATTCTCCGTCGTCACGGCTCCATGAGCGACATCGCCAAGGGTTTCATGAAAGTGCCTCAGCGCAGCAGCCACTTGCAGCAATACCTCCAGGATATCTTTTAGCAAAATTAGTGGTCGCTGACGTTCTTCGCAGTTCTGGAGAAACATATATCGCCCACTGAGTTTGGAAAACTCCTCTGCCATCACTCACGAACTCGGATTTGATGCTGGAAATAATCGGCAAGATTGCCGCCAGCCAGCCATTCTACTGCGACTGCTGGTCGAAGGACAGTGAAGGAGAGTTGAGAGACAGCCACAATTCGAGAGATGTTCGGATGAGATAGACGACAGATTCGCGCTGACTCTTCCAGCAGGGCGACGCTGTGCTTTGGATTCGGATGGCTTACCTGAAATAGCCTCATACAAAGCAGTTTCAATGTGCTGAAAATGGGGCCGAACCGAGCAGCTACCGATGCTTACCTTAACGGCCACCGGGACTCTTTCCGTTGTACGATGCTTTACACGCGGGATAATTGTACCACGAAACAGTGTGCCCTGTGCAGTTTGCGCTAGAGGGCTGCCGAAAATTTCAATACAATTGTCTTCCACAAGATATCGCGAGAGGTCTAAATTTGCCAGACTTTAATGGTATCTCGTTAATGTCCCAACGATGTAGGCTAGAATCCTCACCTCGTTTCAACTGTTTCAGCTGCTTCTGGTATGGGAAGAGGCTGTCTGGCACTGGTAAACACATTTTCTTACCATCTGGAAGTTTAAGAGAGCACTGCGAATTCTGCATATAATTTTATTATGAAGGACTTTGCCTAGAATTTTGGAGTCGATCAATCCCTTTCTGGGATCACCACACATTCTGGTTATCCAAAAATGAACTAGCATTTGGAAGCAATCCGGTCCGACCTTTACCCTTGCGGGAGCAGGTCAATGTGCAATAGAACGGGCTTACCCTACCAGCTATGGTGGCAGTTGACCGACTGCTTGGTTAGGCGGGACATTTCACTACCTGCCCGTACGCGTGGCCGGGTACAGCATCGCCGAAAGAATTCTATCAAGGGGTAGCATTCCCTTGCTGCGGAAGGGAAGAGGTCATTCTCAGTCGCTGGAGGGAAGAAGGGCGTATATGGCCTGCGAAAGCCTCTAATTTCTGATTTGGGCGGCCCACAATCAGAAATCAAACTTATTGCCGTATGATCTAGGTACAGAATGCTCTGTCGAGAAGGTAGCTGAGAAATTTCACTATCCTGATGATAGGATCATCGCGAGCACACGATCCATTGCGAGCACAAGGTACTTGCAATCTGTTGCGTGATCCTACCTCTGTTGTGTGATCCTACCGTCAAACACCCGAACGTCAAAGGGTAACGGGGTAACTGATCAATCCATTCGTGGGATGCGGCACGCATTCTACTTCCATTCAGAATCGTAGTGGCTTATTGAATGCGATGTGGCCTATACAATGACTTGCGGTGGCCAGCCGATGTACAAGTCAGTGTTTTATCCTCCCAGACGAATCTGGTACCAATTACCGTCCGAGGGTAGAAGGCTTGGTTGGCCTGGGCGGAAGTTGACCATCGACTTGAACCAGGACCAAGAGTGGTAAGCGCGCCACTTGTCGCAACACCACCTCCGCCTCACACACGATGGTCAAAATGAAAAAAGGGGGAATCACACTGCCGCCGCCATTTCACTCGTCTTGTCAATGACACGCGATACGCGGGCGCTTTTTCTATTGCACCAACTCCGCCCGGTTGGTGCAATAAAATGTTCTGAATAATGCGGTAACATTAACAAGAACGCTAAGTTGTGGGTAAAACGCCTGGCTCTAGCTATTCTAATTAGAAACAATGAATTCATAGTAAGAAGAGTTGTAAAAGTGAAATGCGGTAAGAAAGAAGTGGTAAAAAATAAGAAAAATGATTGAAAAACGATTAAGTTCTGTAATCGCGTATGAGACCCGTCTTTAAAGGCTGAACTCGCATTCAAATTTGATGAGTTATGCGGCTCAAATACTTATAACAAGGTAGCAAGTAACCCCTTAGTGAAGAAAAATCAGAAAGAAATCATAGGAAAGGCTCTATATAGAACCCCTTGCTTAATTGAGGTTGTACGTGCTCAAGGCGAAGAGAAGGTGCGGTCGCACGAGTTCTCACTTGTTGATATCAGCTGTTTTCCCTTATCACCTCACTCTCACCACTCGACGTGGAGAGAGACAGCAGCGAAACAACCGCACCATCAGATAACCATTAGGAATGAGTGGAGGGCGGTGCCAATGATTGTAGGTTGGGCCAATGAGAAGAACGACGGTATCGTGGGCCTCCTCACTCGTTTTTGCGCCGCGAAAGTGGTGTAGTTGTTGCCTCTGCGGAACCTGCTACCTGCTCACGAAGGGAGAGGAAGGTCTCAACTGAACGCGGACGCTGCCTTTGAGTAAAAGTCATAATCCAGACTGAACAATGACTTACTTTTACATATCCACAAAATTACCAGAAGGTAGCATGTGGTAAGAGCGACAACCGTCGCCCATGGGGTCATATAAGAAACAGAGCATTGATCAGTCACTAGTGTATCATCGGAATTTGGCATACGATCCCTGAAGCATAGAACATAGATCAGGTTATACTACTCTGTGCTCACTCATTGATGCGTTCCTTCCGCTCCAACATGGAAATTTTTATCGATGGCCTTTGGAAGAGTTCAGGCCACCTCAGGTTACCAGCATAAAAATCCACATAGCAAGCTTGCTGATATTATGATAAAGAAAGTTAGCAGCAATCTCAAAGATTCGCAAACAGAAGACTAAGCGACTCCTCTTACACCTGCTGTTATCATGGAAAATTGCCAAAAGGTTTCAGAAATCAATGGATAATCAAAACGTCTGCTTTGTCCATTTTCTAGGTCGACTTTGTAATAACGATCTTCATGTACAGCTCTCCGAAATTTCAATTAGAAGCAGTAAAGCCTGGAGGGGGGACGGTGAGGGTATTTTTTGCTTGCTAGTTTCTTTCACTAGTCGTTCTCTACTTACACGATCCACTTGGGTGAAATTCTTGTGAAGTATAATCGAAGCACGGAACTTTTGTTGAGTGTAGTCTCAGGCTATTGCAAAATTGTGCAAGTGCTCACAGGTCTCTACAAATAAATCCACACAACATGGAATAATATAGAATCAGACCGGCTCCCGCGAACAGGGCAGATCCTGGCTTTGGGAAGAAATTTTGCTCTATACGACCCGCCGCGCTCCAAAACTCCTTCCTCGGTACGACCTTCTTCCGCAGTTGACCAATCCTCTATCAAACTTTTCCTTGAGCGGTGAAGGTGAGGAAGACACACAAAACTATTTTGAAATAGGAAGGTGTTTTTGTGGCGTCATCCTTTGGGGGAATTGTATAGTGCGTGTGAATTGCATAAAAACCCTGGAAAAAACTTCTCCCAGGCCGAATACGTTCATGCTCCCTCAGCCACTGAAAACAGGCTGCAGCATCGTGATGTGTGAAATGGTGGGATGGAACCTCCTGAAAGAGGGTCGTACAAGAAAGATGATTCTCAGTAAACTCCCCTCTTGGCATACCCCTTCCCCCTTCCTCAACACCCACATACCATTTTCCCACTTCCCAACCTCCTACCAATTTTTTTTCGAAATTATTTCCTGAAAACTTGATACTTTTGTCCAAAAAATTTTCTTTCGAGCGGGGGTGGTGGTGGAACGAAGGAAGGAGGTCGTCAGAATGCTACTACTGTTTTCAGCTATCGGAAGTAATAGTAATGTAGACCTTTGGCAGCGCCACCAGCTAGGGGGGAGTCAACAACCGTGAAAACTTTTTTCAACGCGGCCAACTACGACTTCCCCCCCCCCCTCTCATGTGTTTCGCACAACAGTGCGTACCCTGACTGGAAACGACTCCCGTTGAGGCCCAACGTAGTGGCTGAAGGTGCTTCACAACACTGTAAATCGTTAACGAAACGAGCAAAGAACAGACAACTCGGAACATCTTTGCTCACCAAATGAATGGGAGCATATGAACGACATACCCTATTTTTGGGGTATAAGGCTCATTTCGCGGAGGAGCCCACGAAAACGTGTGCGAAAAGGTGGTAGAAGCAGCAACAGTTCTCCCGTCTTTGTTTGCATAGCTTAGTCTTTTCGCTAGTCTTCAGACATCTCTTATTGAATACAGAACATTTGTATGGATACGGATAAGCAAAATGAAGTTCCCATTCAAGGTGAAGGTGCGCCCCACACATGGGTGCACCTAAAACCTATGGTAATTCATTTGGCCTTTAAATCTGCTTCGATCTGTGGAAATCGGAGCAACTGTTTGCGAGAGCTTAATCGACAAATTGAAAAGGATGAAGTTGCAAGTTCTATTTTCGTTGCCTTTGAAGCACAAGATATCATAGTCCACTTCACAAAATGGTCGAATGCCTGAGACTTTATGGCACTCCACTACTACCTAGTTCAATTAGTGTTATAAAGTTTACCAAAGAGTTTGTTATTCATAAACAAGTCATACTCTAAATCTGACCCGAAAAAACGCTGAAATAAGAACGAGACTGGCAGAAAACCGTGCCAAATTCGCCAAATGGTGCGTCACCCAGGAAGAGACGACCGCGTGTTTCCTTCCAAGACAGGTTTCTCTCTCTGCCTATCGCTCACCGTAAATGGGCAATCGATTCCACAATACTGATCCCATGCCCCCCTCCCCCGAAGATTCCTTGAAATAAGAACGAGGTAGACCGTAGTCTGCCGTGACCAGACCTCGTTTTCCACTCTCAAGTTTCAAAGGCAATATTGCCAAAACCTTAGCTGAGGGAAAATTTTCCGAAATAAATGGGAAGCCGATCGTGGTCTAATCTTGACAAGACGATCAGACCGTCATGGTGAGCCAGGCACATGGATTTCCGAGGTACTTCAATAGTCCGGTAGATAAGTCTCCTCATTAGAAGGTCCGCGCGACATCGCGACCGCCGCGCATGCTAACACTAGTTGGGAAACTATAAGTTGAAAAAATGGTTATTTTCAGGAAAAAGATTTGAGAAATATGTCTCCAGAAGATATGACCATACAAGGGAGAAGTGAAGTGTGGATGATCGAGAAAATTATTGGAAATCAGACAGTGGAAGTTTGAAGCAAAGGAAAGAAGAGAAGAGTGTCTTTTTATCGGAAGCTCTCTTAGACGAAAGTTCAGAGGGAGACTCCAGTTCAATGCTGGAAATTAGACGCAGTAGTTGATTCCGACAGAAGGACCTAGAGATGAATAGAAGGTTTATGTTCTGCGACTGCGATTCTCTTTGTCTAAAGCGATGAAGAGTCTGCCTAAAAACGAACAAAGGCAGCATAATGCTACATTCCTTTTCGATTATTTCGTCTCAAATTCCTCTTGCTAACGGATGAACCTTCATTGTCGAAATTTGTATTCACTTTCTGTCCCGTCGTTCTCTTAATTAACAAAATTTGACGTGTTGTCGAAATTGTTGTGAGCTTTATTTACGAAGTGTGGTGCTGATAAGATTTGATAAGGGGACTCAGAATGGAAAGGTCAACATACTCATAACGCGGGACACAGCATCAGTTAGGCGTTGATTTCAGCAAATGATATCAAGGGGAAGGTGGAGAACGGCGACGGCGGGTGACAGGAAATGATAACAGCTGATAGGGCCTGATAGAGAACGATGCAGTTGTTGTTCAGTCAAAGCTGGAGCCTCTACACCACGAAATTATGGAGTTTTAGTGATAGCGACATTGATGACGGGTGACAAGCAATTTTATCAATTGATAAGTAAAGATAAGGGGACATTCTCACGACATCTGTGACCACTACACTGCCAAGTAAACAAGCCTCTCAGTAGCCGAACTTTTCCTCCAGCCAACACTCGAAATCACTCCAGCCATCGTTAGAAAATGAACTCCTCCCATTAATCCCACTATCCTACATCCTAATATGTATAATGTTGAAGTCGAGGAGCGGGGGAAGGGGGAGTGGGGGGTATGTACTTCGCCTGAAACAGGAAGTTTTGAAAAATCAAAAACCTGAATATTGGAACACACTTTATGCGTTCAGTGAGTGACTATTTGACTATTTTTTGCTTTTCAACTTTTAATCACTGATGAGAACGAATAATGAAGTAGTCTGTAAGATATTCAACGAACGCAGCCCAAATATTGGCATATGCAGTCATTCATGCAACCTTAGCAGGTGGATTGCATGTTAATGGCAAGTTAATCGCTCATCGTTGGCGTTGTGATGCAGGTAATAAAAACGGGATTTGTTCGTCTACTGTGCAACACATATTGATATTCTGTACTTCCTATATATTTCTAAGATCTACGTATAGAATGGGCGTTATGGCCGAAACCAGCACGCCTTCCGCAAATATCAGGGTGGACTGAGGTGTGCAGAATTCGCTAGGTTGCTCTGTCTATTATGATTCGACCACTATCGCGCAATATGAGCAGCTCAGGCAATTAAAACATTCCATTTACCTGGCTTCGCCAGGCGCACATACAAGGGGGGGGGGCTTAAA